CTCACACAGGGACAGATATAATTCTAAACTGATATAGTTCTACTCTCACACAGGGACAGATATACTTCTAAACAGAGATAGCTCTACTCTCACACAGGGACAGATATAATTCTAAACAGAGATAGCTCTACTCTCACACAGGGACAGATATAATTCTAAACGGAGATTACTCTCACACAGGGACATATATAATTCTAAGCAGATATAGTTCTACTCTCACACAGGGACAGATATACTTCTAAACAGAGATAGCTCTACTCTCACACAGGGACAGATATAATTCTAAACGGAGATTACTCTCACACAGGGACATATATAATTCTAAGCAGATATAGTTCTACTCTCACACAGGGACAGATATACTTCTAAACAGAGATAGCTCTACTCTCACACAGGGACAGATATAATTCTAAACAGAGATAGTTCTACTCTCACACAGGGACAGATATACTTCTAAACGGAGATATCTCTACTCTCACACAGGGACAGATATAATTCAAAACGGAGATACAATAGAACCTCGCTTAACGAGCACCTCTCATAACGAGTAATTTGCATAACGAGCAAAACAAATTGTAAAAAAATGACTCGCTTAACGAGCGAAGTTTCGCATAACGAGTGGCGAGGAGAGAGAAAGTCCCGGATTTTGCGCACGTTACATCAATGTTTAGCACTAGTTCCAGTAGCATTGTCGCTTGTGATCACATATTTTCTCAAACTTGTGTTACATTGTACATGTATATGTACATGAGTCCTCCAGTCCTACAGGATGACCTCCCTGCTGAATTTAAGTTAATTAAGATCCAGTTTCTGCCTCCCAACACCACACCGTTACTCCAGCCAATGGACCAGCAAGTTATTTCTAACTTTAGGAAACTCTACACTAAAGCACTCTTCAAGCATAGTTTTCAGGTGACTGAAGGGACCAACCTCACTTTCAAAGAGTTTTGATAAAATCACTCAAGATGACCGACAAGGCGGAGGAAGGGGATACCAAGAGAACTTTAACTTCTTCTTAGAGGAAGCTTTAGCCGGAGAGTATTGTCGATTTGTGACTTTGAGTGGTTCGAGACAGTACCTGTGGAACGTGTAGTCAACGAGATTGTGTCTTTGGCCACTATCATGGGATTGTAGGCTGATAACAGTGATATAGAAGAGCTTGTGGAAGAGCACAGCCAAGAGCTGGCCATCCTAGAGCTTATGGCGTTGCATTGTGTTTTACAGCAAGACGTTTTGGAGAAACGTTTGTCAGAGGAGGAGGAGGAGGAGGAGAAGGTAACAGAAAAGCAACAATCTTCTGGCAAAATAAGAAAAATTCTGAAAGTATGGGAAACTTATGCTTCTGACAATGAGAAGAATCACCCTAATAAGGAAGTGGCTATGCGCGCTGCAAATTTAATGATAATGCTGTTTCGCATTTTCGCCAAATTCTGAAGCTTCGACAAAAACATATATCTCTAGACATCTTTCTAGTAAAAAAATTATCTATGTCTCATAATTATTTTGACTTTTTTTTTCTGCAAATCGAATTCGCATTCCATGTGGGTTCGTCCCGCGTTTGAAGAAAAGATGATGATGTTTCACTCTCCTTAACAATATGTTTATAATTTTCTTGAAATAAACGTTATACATAGTATTTTGTGAGTATTTTTTCGACATGGAACGCATTATCCTATTTTACATTAATTTATATGAGAAAAATTGTTTCGCATAACGAGTGTTTCGCTTAACGAGTATGATTCTGGAACGAATTATGCTCGTTAAGCGAGGTTCCACTGTAGCTCTACTTTCACCCAGGGACAGATATAATTCCAAACTGAGATAGCTCTACTCTCACACAGGGACAGATATACTTCTAAATCGAGATAGCTCTACTCTCCCACATGGACAGACATGACGCCATACAGAAGCAGATATATATCCATTCTGTGGTAGATAAACTCTCACACAGGGACAGACATGACGCCATACAGAAGCAGATATATATCCATTCTGTGGTAGATAAACTCTCACACAGGGACAGATATGACGCCATACAGAAGCAGATATATATCCATTCTGTGGTAGATAAACTCTCACACAGGGACAGACATGATGCCATACAGAAGCAGATATATATCCAAGAACAGCTGATCTATAAACTCTTACATGTGATGTGCAAGAACATCTGATCTATAAACTCTTACATGTGATGTGCAAGAACATCTGATCTATAAACTCTTACATGTGATGTGCAAGAACATCTGATCTATAAACTCTTACATGTGATGTGCAAGAACATCTGATCTATAAACTCTTACATGTGATGTGCAAGAACATCTGATCTATAAACTCTTACATGTGATGTGCAAGAACATCTGATCTATAAACTCTTACATGTGATGTGCAAGAACATCTGATCTATAAACTCTTACATGTGATGTGCAAGAACATCTGATCTATAAACTCTTACATGTGATGTGCAAGAACATCTGATCTATAAACTCTTACATGTGATGTGCAAGAACATCTGATCTATAAACTCTCACATGTGATGTGCAAGAACAGCTGATCTATAAACTCTTACATGTGATGTGCAAAGACAATTTGATCTATAAACTCTTACATGTGATGTGCAAGAACATCTGATCTATAAACTCCCACATGTGATGTGCAAGAACATCTGATCTATAAACTCCCACATGTGATGTGCAAGAACATCTGATCTATAAACTCCCACATGTGATGTGCAAGAACATCTGATCTATAAACTCTTACATGTGATGTGCAAGAACATCTGATCTATAAACTCCCACATGTGATGTGCAAGAACATCTGATCTATAAACTCCCACATGTGATGTGCAAGAACATCTGATCTATAAACTCTTACATGTGATGTGCAAGAACAGCTGATCTATAAACTCTTACATGTGATGTGCAAGAACAGCTGATCTATAAACTCTTACATGTGATGTGCAAGAACATCTGATCTATAAACTCTTACATGTGATGTGCAAGAACATCTGATCTATAAACTCTTACATGTGATGTGCAAGAACATCTGATCTATAAACTCCCACATGTGATGTGCAAGAACATCTGATCTATAAACTCTTACATGTGATGTGCAAGAACAGCTGATCTATAAACTCTTACATGTGATGTGCAAATACAGCTGATCTATAAACTCTTACATGTGATGTGCAAGAACATCTGATCTATAAACTCTTACATGTGATGTGCAAGAACATCTGATCTATAAACTCCCACATGTGATGTGCAAGAACATCTGATCTATAAACTCTTACATGTGATGTGCAAGAACAGCTGATCTATAAACTCTTACATGTGATGTGCAAGAACATCTGATCTATAAACTCTTACATGTGATGTGCAAGAACAGCTGATCTATAAACTCTTACATGTCATGTGCAAGAACATCTGATCTATAAACTCTCACATGTGATGTGCAAGAACATCTGATCTATAAACTCTTACATGTCATGTGCAAGAACATCTGATCTATAAACTCTTACATGTGATGTGCAAGAACATCTGATCTATAAACTCTTACATGTGATGTGCAAGAACATCTGATCTATAAACTCTTACATGTCATGTGCAAGAACATCTGATCTATAAACTCCCACATGTGATGTGCAAGAACATCTGATCTATAAACTCTTACATGTGATGTGCAAGAACATCTGATCTATAAACTCTTACATGTCATGTGCAAGAACATCTGATCTATAAACTCTTACATGTCATGTGCAAGAACATCTGATCTATAAACTCTTACATGTGATGTGCAAGAACATCTGATCTATAAACTCCCACATGTGATGTGCAAGAACATCTGATCTATTAACTCTTACATGTAGTTTAGATAATGTTCTAAATTCATTTACACAAGACCTACATTGTTAATGCTGCAACACTCTCACACAAGGGTTAAAAATACTCCCACACAAGGGCTACAACACTTCCACACAAGGGTAAAAACACTAACACACAAGGGTTAAAAACACTCCCACACAAAGGCTACAACACTCGCACACAAGGGCTACAGCACTCCCACACAAGGGTAAAAACACTCCCAAAAATGGTGCGATTTTATCTCACAGTGTCACATGCTGTCAAACAATAATGTCAGATAATCTCAAAGAGGCTATTTGAGGGGGAGGGGGTGGGGGGAGGCCACAGACATTATATAACACAACATATAATAACAGAACCACAGACATATGTGTGTGTGTCTCACACAAGACCACCATACCTGTGAGACATATCTACGCAAAGATACCTTTCATATGGTAACATAAAATCACCCAGTCAGACGCAAAGATATTTGTCATGTTGTGACATAATATCACACCTGTGAGCCAGTCCCAAACACGCATACCTGTGACATGATATCATAATATCACACTCGCGAGCCAGTCCCACACACAGATACCTGTCGCATGGTAACATAACATCACTATTGTAAGACAGTCCCACACAGATACCTGTCGCATGGTAACATAACATCACTATTGTAAGACAGTCCCACACAGATACCTGTCAAATAGTAACATAACATCATGCCTGTAAGACAGTCCCACACAAAGATAACTGTCATATAGTAATATAACATCACGCCTGTGAGACAGTCACAAACAAAGATAACATTACGCCTGTGAGACAGTAACAAACAAAGGTAACATCACACCTGTGAGACAGTCACACACAAAGATACCTGTCATATGAAAACTTAACATCACATCTGTGACATGGTGACATCAAATGATACCCACACACACACACACACACACACAAAGCTAAGTAATCTATATCCCGACAAGAAATAACTTACAAATAAAGCCACCAACATGAGAAGGAAGCCACCAACATGGAAAGGAAGCCGCCAACATGAGCTACTAAAATTAGAAGAAAGCCACCAAAATGAAAAAGAAGAAACTATGGATCTAGAAATTACATGGCAACAACCAAACAAATCAACAGGAGAAGCAGATCCTAGATCTGCTCCACACGGATCTTGACAGGCAGTGGCCGGGCTTGGACAAAATCCTGGGGATGTATGCCGGTGATGCCTTTCTTGTCCGGGAGATAGCGCAAGTATTCCAGGTCACCATGAATGCTCAGTTTCTGGGGAAACAATCAGAACAATTGGTATGTGTATGCACATGCGTATGTGTGTGTATGCACGTGCGTATGTGTGTGTATGCACATGCGTATGTGTGTGTGTGCACATGTGCATGTATGTGAGGAGGAGCAGAGAAAATGATTCAATATGCTCCAATCTTCACTAACTACCAACACTGCATTCATGTATCCAGTACAGACACAACTACTGATTTGTGATCACAGTAAACATATTCCAGGCATAGGGACAGTACAAACATTACAGGTATGTTGACATTACAAACATTTTTGGTGTTGCTTCAGTACAAACATTCCAGTTATGGTGACAGTACAAACAATCCAGGTATAGGGACAGTACAAACATTACAGGTATGTTGACATTACAAACATTTTTGGTGTTGCTACAAACATTCCAGATATGGTGACAGTACAAACATTACATGTATGTTAAAAGTACAAAAATTTCAGGTATGAGGACAGTACAAACATTCCTGGTATGGCTACAGCACAAACATTCCAGATATGGTGACAGTACAAACATTACAGGTATGTTGACATTACAAACATTCCAGGTATAGGCAATGTACAAACATTCCAGATTTAGGTATAGTACAAACATTCCAGATATGGTGAAAGTACAAACATTCCAGGTATGGGGACAGTAAAACATTTCAGATATGGGGACAGTACAAACATTGTTAATTGTTTCGGTTTTGTGGCCCAGAAAGAGAGTGACTTCCCTTGCCATTCATGCCTTGTCGGGTGGAGACGACAAACTACATTAAAACTGACAGAAGTTACCTGAGAACACTGGCGTCAGTCTGTGTTATGCTGGAAAATAGTTGTATCTGTTCTGGCAGGGAGGACAAGTTGAGACTCATGATGCTAACCCAAGATGAGCTGATGCTGTTTAGCAGATGGCATACATAAACACAGAGCATTTAAACATCAACAAGCAAGGCAACAAGCATTACCGCACAGACAGAGGTATGATACATATTACGCACAACAGTATGATCAACCATCTTAACAAAACCACCAGTGCTTACCTGTGAAACCTTGTGATCTGGGGCAGTCACTGCCGCAGACATACACAACCAGATCATGGCAACAGCACTCAACAAAATGAGGACACACAGCAACAAGCGAGGCAGGCCAGTTTTACGAGCAATGCAGGTCAACCAATCACTGCCATTTGTGTCGTCCAACTTTTGCTTCCAGGGGTCAGCCTGTGGGAGATGGAAAAATGATGAGACATCCGTTGAGTGCTGATCACAACAACATACCACAAATATGCACTTGATGATAGAAACTTCCATTGAATGAAAACAGCAAACCAACAGTGACTACCAACCTGGTCACTGGTGTCAATGCCAGGGTCAATCATTTCTCTAATCATCATCACTGTCTGGCTGACAGAAACATGTCTCAGATCACAAACATTGTGGTGAAACATGTCTCAGATCACAAACATTGTGGTGAAACATGTCTCAGATCACAAACATTGTGGTGAAACATGTCTCAGATCACAAACATTGTGGTGAAACATGTCTCAGATCACAAACATTGTGGTGAAACATGTCTCAGATCACAAACATTGTGGTGAAACATGTCTCAGATCACAAACATTGTGGTGAAACATGTCTCAGATCACAAACATTGTGGTGAAACATGTCTCAGATCACAAATTTTGTGCTGAAACATGTCTCAGATCACAAACAATGTGGTGAAACATGTCTCAGATCACAAACATTGAGGTGAAACATGTCTCAGATCACAAATATTGTGCTGAAACATGTCTCAGATCACAAACATTGTGGTGAAACATGTCTCAGATCACAAACATTGTGGTGAAAAATGTCTCAGATCACAAACATTGTGGTGAAACATGTCTCAGATCACAAACATTGTGCTGAAACATGTCTCAGATCACAAACATTGTGCTGAAAAATGTCTCAGATCACAAACATTGTGGTGAAACATGTCTCAGATCACAAACATTGTGGTGAAACATGTCACAGATCACAAATATTGTGGTTAAACATGTCTCAGATCACAAACATTGTGGTGAAACATGTCTCAGATCACAAACATTGTGGTGAAACATGTCTCAGATCACAAACATTGTGGTGAGACATGTCTCAGATCACAAACATTATGGTGAAACATGCCTCAGATCCCAAACATTGTGGTGAAACATGTATGTGTGTGTGTATTTATGTATGTATGTATGTGTATGGGTGTATGTATGTGTGATTGTATATGAGTGAATGTGTGATTGTGTGTGTGTGCGCGCGTGCGCGCACGTGTTTGCGTGCTTGCAGGACACATCTATCTCAGCTGTCAGATATGAACACAGGACACATCTATCTCAGCTGTCAGACATAGACACAGGATACATCTATCTCAGCTGTCAGATATGAACACAGGATACATCTATCTCAGCTGTCAGACATGAACACAGGATACATCTATCTCAGCTGTCAGATATGAACACAGGATACATCTATCTCAGCTGTCAGACATAAACACAGGATACATCTATCTCAGCTGTCAGATATGAAAACAGGATACATCTATCTCAGCTGTCAGATATGAACACAGGATACATCTATCTCAGCTGTCAGACATAAACACAGGATACATCTATCTCAGCTGTCAGACATAAACACAGGATACATCTATCTCAGCTGTCAGACATGAACACAGGATACATCTATCTCAGCTGTCAGACATAAACACAGGATACATCTATCTCAGCTGTCAGACATAAACACAGGATACATATATCTCAGCTGTCAGACATAAACACAGGATACATATATCTCAGCTGTCAGACATAAACAAAGGATACATATATCTCAGCTGTCAGACATAAACACAGGATACATATATCTCAGCTGTCAGACATGAACACAGGACACATCTATCTCAGCTGTCAGAGAACAAACCTCAGCTGCATTAATTTCATCACTGAAACTCCTAGCTGACTTGAGCTGTGAGTGGCGCAGTACCTCTGTTGCTGTGTTACCTGAGGGTTCTATGTTTGTTTCCAACAATAAACTTGTTCCCCTGGATGCACTGTAATCTGCGAAAAGTCATGATCTCTATAAAAATCCACAGCACAAAAATACAATTATAAATTTCAGGCAGACATAGATCAGGCTATCTGTTAGGGGTCATTTTCCCTTTCGTTAGCAGAGTATCATCTCATTATAAATTATTCAAAATGGGCGGTAATTAGAATAATGTATGTGGGAACAAACCAAGTATCAAATCGAGGCAAAAGTGAACTTTGTGCAGTTTGGCCAAAAGCATGCAAAGCAAATAAAACACAAATGCTTGAGAACAGTCTGGAAGTTCACAAGGAAAGGAAGAGGTATTTAAGCCGTGAGAGAATGAGCTAGTCTTGTCCTGTTTTCGCTCCTGGGACAAGATTATCTGGTGTGGCATGGAAGAGTGAAAGTTGAGTGAATCTACAAGCAAGTAAATATCTGCTCAGTGTCATAAATGCATCCTGAGAAAACCTGGCAGTCTTGTTTAACCTGACATCTTGCAATGGCCGAAGATCGCCTGCTGTCCGTGCAAGCTGTTGCGAATGTAGCTTGGTGACACTTGGGGTATCAATCATTGGAAATGCTCTGTTTAGTCAGGTAGCGACATATTTAATGTTCTTTATAATTACCCTAGATGTCCAACTTCTGGCATACTGACTGATGAACATTACTGGGATAATAAATGACAGTTGTCATCAGCTGTTCTGTGTTTCTCAAAGTGTGTCCATATTTCAAGCATAATGTGTTGAAATGCTTGTCAACGTGCCTGAGAAGACTGCATAAATTAGAGCTAAGAGAGTCCTTGTAAGTCCAGATACAAAATTTATTCCAAACAGGTCATCCTAAAGTTGGTTCGTTCCTGTAGCAGTGAAAACCAGACAATGAGCATTCTGTGTGGTTTTCACTGGAATACAGACAAACCCATCAAAGCCCCACAAGGAAATTCAAACAGACAAAAGTCCTGGCAAAATCCAACAGCTCACACATGGATCAAATGCATAATGTAGACACCAGAAGTGCCACAACCAACAGTCTGTCACTAGAACTGTAATTCATTACTGAGGGAAGTAAATAATGACAAACCAGAAGGTCAACAAATGATTGTATAAGGCACACTGCCAATTCTGTGGCAACCAGCCCTTTCCATTTTCTGTATACACAGTTTACAAAACAGATCTCCAAAAGCACAGACAATAAGCATTCCCTAAGAAGTCCACAGCTCACAGTGCGTACTATGTCTTCAACTCAGTAGCTAGCAGACACAGCTCACAGTGCGTACTATGCCTTCAACTCAGTAGCTGGCAGACACAGCTCACAGTGCGTACTATGTCTTCAACTCAGTAGCTGGCAAACACAGCTCACAGTGCGTACTATGTCTTCAACTCAGTAGCTGGCAGACACAGCTCACAGTGCGTACTATGTCTTCAACTCAGTAGCTGGCAGACACAGCTCACAGTGCGTACTATGTCTTCAACTCAGTAGCTGGCAGACACAGCTCACAGTGCGTACTATGCCTTCAACTCAGTAGCTGGCAAACACAGCTCACAGTGCGTACTATGCCTTACTAGCTGACACAGCTCACAGTGCGTATATGTCTTCAAGTAGCTGGCAGACACAGCTCACAGTGCGTACTATGCCTTCAACTCAGTAGCTGGCAGACACAGCTCACAGTGCGTACTATGCCTTCAACTCAGCTGGCAGACACAGCTCACAGTGCGCACTATGTCTTCAACTCAGTAGCTGGCAGACACAGCTCACAGTGCGTACTATGTCTTCAACTCAGTAGCTGGCAGACACAGCTCACAGTGCGTACTATGTCTTCAACTCAGTAGCTGGCAGACACAGCTCACAGTGCGTACTATGTCTTCAACTCAGTAGCTGGCAGACACAGCTCACAGTGCGTACTATGCCTTCAACTCAGCTGGCAGACACAGCTCACAGTGCGTACTATGCCTTCAACTCAGTAGCTGGCAGACACAGCTCACAGTGCGTACTATGCCTTCAACTCAGCTGGCAGACACAGCTCACAGTGCGTACTATGCCTTCAACTCAGCTGGCAGACACAGCTCACAGTGCGTACTATGTCTATGACACAGCTCACAGTTACTATGCCTTCAACTCAGTAGCTGGCAGACACAGCTCACAGTGCGTACTATGCCTTCAACTCAGTAGCTGGCAGACACAGCTCACAGTGCGCACTATGTCTTCAACTCAGTAGCTGGCAGACACAGCTCACAGTACGCACTATGTCTTCAACTCAGTAGCTGGCAGACACAGCTCACAGTGCGTACTATGCCTTCAACTCAGTAGCTGGCAGACACAGCTCACAGTGCGTACTATGCCTTCAACTCAGTAGCTGGCAAACACAGCTCACAGTGCGTACTATGCCTTCAACTCAGTAGCTGGCAGACACAGCTCACAGTGCGTACTATGCCTTCAACTCAGCTGGCAGACACAGCTCACAGTGCGTACTATGCCTTCAACTCAGTAGCTGGCAGACACAGCTCACAGTGCGTACTATGCCTTCAACTCAGTAGCTGGCAAACACAGCTCACAGTGCGTACTATGCCTTCAACTCAGTAGCTGGCAAACACAGCTCACAGTGCGCACTATGCCTTCAACTCAGTAGCTGGCAAACACAGCTCACAGTGCGCACTATGCCTTCAACTCAGTAGCTGGCAAACACAGCTCACAGTGCGCACTATGTCTTCAACTCAGCTGGCAGACACAGCTCACATCGCGCACTATGTCTTCAACTCAGTAGCTGGCAGACACAGCTCACAGTGCGCACTATGTCTTCAACTCAGTAGCTGGCAAACACAGCTCACAGTGCGCACTATGCCTTCAACTCAGTAGCTGGCAAACACAGCTCACAGTGCGTACTATGCCTTCAACTCAGTAGCTGGCAAACACAGCTCACAGTGCGCACTATGTCTTCAACTCAGTAGCTGGCAGACACAGCTCACAGTGCGTACTATGTCTTCAACTCAGTAGCTGGCAGACACAGCTCACAGTGCGCACTATGTCTTCAACTCAGTAGCTGGCAGACACAGCTCACAGTGCGCACTATGTCTTCAACTCAGTAGCTGGCAGACACAGCTCACAGTGCGCACTATGCCTTCAACTCAGTAGCTGGCAGACACAGCTCACAGTGCGCACTATGTCTTCAACTCAGTAGCTGGCAGACACAGCTCACATCGCGCACTATGCCTTTAACTCAGTAGCTGGCAGACACAGCTCGATTTCAGCTTGACCTAATTTGTTGTCCCATCCAGTTTCCCACTTGGGGTGTTCCTTCAACTGGGATCCTGGGAAGGACAGTGTCCAATAGGTGACGGTGAGCTGGGCTTGTTTCTTGTGTGCATCATTGCTCCATGAGGACCTCGAGAGATGTTTCTTGTGTGCATCATTGCTCCATGAGGACCTCGAGAGATGTTTCTTGTGTGCATCATTGCTCCATGAGGACCTCGAGAGATGTTTCTTGTGTGCATCACTGCTCAATGAGGACCTCGAGAGATGTTTCTTGTGTGCATCATTGCTCCATGAGGACCTCGAGAGATGTTTCTTGTGTGCATCATTGCTCCATGAGGACCCTGAGGTCAATAGAGATGTTTCTTGTGTGCAACATTGCTCCATGAGGACCTCGAGAGATGATTCTTGTGTGCATCATTGCTCCATGAGGACCTCGAGAGATGATTCTTGTGTGCATCAATGCTCCATGAGGACCTCGAGAGATGATTCTTGTGTGCATCATTGCTCCATGAGGACCCTGAGGTCAATAGAGATGTTTCTTGTGTGCATCATTGCTCCATGAAGACCTCGAGAGATGTTTCTTGTGTGCATCATTGCTCCATGAGGACCCTGAGGTCAATAGAGATGTTTCTTGTGTGCATCATTGCTCCATGAGGACCCTGAGGTCAATAGAGATGTTTCTTGTGTGCATCCCTGCTCCATGAGGACCCTGAGGTCAATAGAGATGTTTCTTGTGTGCATCACTGCTCCATGAGGACCCTGGGGTCAATAGAGATGTTTCTTGTGTGCATCATTGCTCCATGAGGACCTCGAGAGATGATTCTTGTGTGCATCATTGCTCCATGAGGACCTCGAGAGATGATTCTTGTGTGCATCAATGCTCCATGAGGACCTCGAGAGATGATTCCTGTGTGCATCATTGCTCCATGAGGACCCTGAGGTCAATAGAGATGTTTCTTGTGAGCATCATTGCTCCATGAGGACCTCGAGAGATGTTTCTTGTGTGCATCATTGCTCCATGAGGACCCTGAGGTCAATAGAGATGTTTCTTGTGTGCATCATTGCTCCATGAGGACCTCGAGAGATGATTCTTGTGTGCATCATTGCTCCATGAGGACCTCGAGAGATGTTTCTTGTGTGCATCACTGCTCCATGAGGACCTCGAGAGATGTTTCTTGCTAAAAGAGCAGCAAGGGGATGAGAAGACACAAGAAAGCATGGAGCTTTAATCAACAGTGTGATAGAAGATGGTATGACATTGATGTGTGACTGCAGACTGATGTGTCATCAGTGTGTGACTGTAGACTGATGTGACATCAGTGTGTGACAGGAGACTAATGTAACACTGGTGTGCGACAGTAGACTGCATGACATTGATGAGGGATGGTGTGACAGTAGATTGTGTGACATTAGTGACATCAGAGTGGTATGACACTGACTGGTGACAGCTGACTTATGTGAGGTTGATGTGTGAGAGTGAATGTGTCCAGAAGTGTCTGTGGTAAATCTGGACTACCTATGTGCATGAAACCTAGCGCAGAGACACTGACTGGTGACAGCTGACTTATGTGGGGTTGATGTGTGAGAGTGAATGTGTCCAGAAGTGTCTGCGGTAAATCTGGACTACCTATGTGCATGAAACCTAGCGCAGAGACACTGACTGGTGACAGCTGACTTATGTGGGGTTGATGTGTGAGAGTGAATGTGTCCAGAAGTGTCTGCGGTAAATCTGGACTACCTATGTGCATGAAACCTAGCGCAGAAACATTGACATGGATTCACACAATATCAAGGAAGCCCTACAAGAGGAAAAGACAGAACAGGAAAAACGTCTCTACAACAAACACAACTGACCATCAAAATCTTGCACGTCCATGTCCTGAGCCAGTGGCAAGGACCTGATGACCATCATATGACCCTGATCATCACGCACGAAAAATGACCAAGACACACACATCTGGTCTGTCATTTTGTCCACCATACTGCTGTACATGTTGTGCATAAACAGCAGGGGATAGAGTGCATGTGATACCTCCATGTCTGGCATACTGAAGTCTGTCAGCTGTTGATAATAAGCAGGGGATAAAGTGAGTGTGATATCTCCACACCTGGTTGCACCTGTTGGTGTCGAGCTGTCAACAGTTTCTGATTATGTCCCAGCACTAATGTGGTCTCACCTGTTGATGTCTAGCTGTCAATGTTTCTGACTGTCAATGTCCTAGCACTAATGTGGTCTCACCTGTTGGTGTCTAGCTGTCAATGTTTCTGACTGTCAATGTCCTAGCACTAATGTGGTCTCACCTGTTAGTGTCTAGCTGTCAACGGTTTCTGATTATGTCCCAGCACTAACGTGGTTTCACCTGTTGATGTCTAGCTGTCAATGTTTCCGACTGTCAATGTCTTAGCACTAATGTGGTCTCACCTGTTGGTGTCTAGCTGTCAATGTTTCTGACTGTCAATGTCCTAGCACTAATGTGGTCTCACCTGTTAGTGTCTAGCTGTCAACGGTTTCTGATTATGTCCCAGCACTAACGTGGTTTCACCTGTTGATGTCTAGCTGTCAATGTTTCCGACTGTCAATGTCCTAGCACTAATATGGTCTCACCTGTTGGTGCCGAGCTGTCAATGTTTCTGACTGTCAATGTTCCAGCACTATGTGGTCTCACGTGTTGGTGTCTAGCTGTCAACGGTTTCTGATTATGTCCCAGCACTAACGTGGTCTCACCTGTTGGTGTCTAGCTGTCAATGTTTCTGACTGTCAATGTCCCATCAAAAATCTGGTCTCACCTGTTAGTGCCGAGCTGTCAATGTTTCTGACTGTCAATGTCCCAGCACTAATGTGGTCTCACCTGTTAGTACCGAGCTGTCAATGTTTCTGACTGTCAATGTCCCAGCACTATGTGGTCTCATGTGTTGGTGTCTAGCTGTCAATGTTTCTGACTGTCAATGTCCCAGCACTATGTGGTCTCACCTGTTGGTATCAAGCTGTCAATGTTTCTGACTGTCAATGTCCCAGCACTAATGTGGTCTCACCTGTTGATGTCTAGCTGTCAATGTTTCTGACTTTCAATGTCCCAGCACTAAAGTGGTCTCACCTGTTGATGTCTAGCTGTCAATGTTTCTGACTGTCAATGTCCTAGCACTAATGTGGTCTCACCTGTTGATGTCTAGCTGTCAATGTTTCTGACTGTCAATGTCCCAGCACTAATGTGGTCTCACTTGTTGGTATCAAGCTGTCAATGTTTCTGACTGTCAATGTCCCAGCACTATGTGGTCTCACGGGCTGGTATCAAGCTATCAATGTTTCTGATTATGTCCCAGCACTAAACTGGTCTCACCTGTTGGTGTCTAGCTGTCAATGTCCCAGCACTAATGTGGTCTCACCTGTTGGTGTCTAGCTGTCAATGTCCCATTACTAAACTGGTCTCACCTGTTGGTGTCTAGCTGTGAATAACTTCTGACTGCGACAACCCAGGATACAAGATGAGGTATCCTCTGTCTCACCAGGGTAGGCATTCTTGCAATCTGTGGGTGAGACCAGGTCCAAAACATAAACTTATTTCACAAACAAAGATTTCATTACTGTTATCAGTAAACACCTCACAACATCTACACCACACACCACCTACACTACACATCTCACAACATCTATAACACACACCTCAAAACATCTACACCACACACCTCACAACATCTACAAAACACACCTAACAACATCTACACCATACACCTCGCAACATCTACAAAACACACCTAACAACATCTACACTATACACCTCGCAACATCTACAAAACACACCTAACAACATCTACACCATACACCTCGCAACATCTACAAAACACGCCTAACAACATCTACACCATACACCTCGCAACATCTACAAAACACGCCTAACAACATCTACACCATACACCTCGCAACATCTACACCACAACCTCACTACATCTAGACCATACTTATCACAACATGTACACCACACAACACCTACACCAAACACCTCACAACACCTGCACCACCACACAACTCACAACATCTACACCACACAACTTCCAATACCTAAACCACACACCTTACAACACCTACACCACATATCTCACAACACCTACAACATCTACACCACACAACTCACAATACCTACACCACACACCTTACAACACCTACTCCACACACCATTCAACACCTACACCACATACCTCACAACACCTACACCACACACCTCGCAACATCTACACCACAACATCACTACATCTAGACCATACACATCACAACATCTACACTACACATCTCACAACATCTACACTACACATCTCACAATATCTACACTACAAACCTCACAACATCTACACCACACACCTCGCAACATCTACACCACAACATCACTACATCTAGACCATACACATCACAACATCTACACTACACATCTCACAACATCTACACTACACATCTCGCAACATCTACACCACACACCTTACAACACCTACACCACACATCTCACAATACTTACACCACACATTTCACAACATATACACCACACATCTCACAACATATAACCACACATCTCACAACATATAACCACACATCTCACAACATATAACCACCCATTTCACAACATATAACCACCCATCTCACAACATATAACCAAACATCTCACAACACATAACCACCCATCTCACAACATATACACCACACATCTCACAACTTCTACAACAAATCTCACAACATATACACCACACATCTCACAATATCTACACCACACATTTCACTATATTTACACCATACTCCTCACAACATCTACATCACTATATCTACATCACAACCTCACAATATCTACACCACACATCTTAGATCTACACCACAGACTGCCTCTGATGACATTTTCAAGATACCTTGGTACTGTTCTGAAAAGAAGTTTCTGTAGCCCTGACATGGTAACGCGGGAGCAAGTCTCGCCTGACAGCTCTCGCGAGATGTAAACATGTCATCTTTTATCACCATCTCATCTCCTCCTCTCCATCTCGTCTTTTCATTCATCCCCTTCTCCTCATCTCCTCCTCTCTATCTCGTCTTTTCATTCATCCCCTTCTCACCTTCTCCTCATCTCCATCGCATGTCATCTCCTTATATCTATAAGTCTAAACCATACATGTAAAGTCTAAACCATTCATGTAAAGTCTAAACCATTCATGTAAAGTCTCAACCATACATGTGAAGTCTAAACCGTTCATGTAAAGTCTAAACCATGCATGTAAAGTCTAAACCATTCATGTAAAGTCTAAACCATTCATGTAAAGTCTAAACCATTCATGTAAAGTCTCAACCATACATGTGAAGTCTAAACCGTTCATGTAAAGTCTCAACCATACATGTAAAGTCTAAACCATACATGTGAAGTCTAAACCATACATGTAAAGTCTAATCCATACATGCCAAGTCTAAACCATACATGTAAAGTCTAAACCATACATGTAAAGTCTAAACCATACATGCTAAGTCTAAACCATACGTGTGAAGTCTAAACCATACATGTAAAGTCTTAACCATACATGTAAAGTCTAAACCATACATGTAAAGTCTCAACCATACATGTAAAGTCTAAACCATACATGTAAAGTCTTAACCATACATGTAAAGTCTTAACCATACATGTAAAGTCTAATCCATATACGTGTGAAGTCTCAACCATACATGTAAAGTCTCAACCATTCATGTAAAGTCTCAACCATACATGTGAAGTCTAAACCGTTCATGTAAAGTCTCAACCATACATGTAAAGTCTAAACCATACATGTAAAGTCTAAACCGTTCATGTAAAGTCTCAACCATACATGTAAAGTCTAAACCATACATGTAAAGTCTAAACCATTCATGTAAAGTCTAAACCATTCATGTAAAGTCTCAACCATACATGTGAAGTCTAAACCGTTCATGTAAAGTCTAAACCATGCATGTAAAGTCTAAACCATTCATGTAAAGTCTAAACCATTCATGTAAAGTCTAAACCATTCATGTAAAGTCTCAACCATACATGTGAAGTCTAAACCGTTCATGTAAAGTCTAAACCATACATGTAAAGTCTAAACCATACATGTGAAGTCTAAACCATACATGTAAAGTCTAATCCATACATGCCAAGTCTAAACCATACATGTAAAGTCTAAACCATACATGTAAAGTCTAAACCATACATGCTAAGTCTAAACCATACGTGTGAAGTCTAAACCATACATGTAAAGTCTTAACCATACATGTAAAGTCTAAACCATACATGTAAAGTCTCAACCATACATGTAAAGTCTAAACCATACATGTAAAGTCTTAACCATACATGTAAAGTCTTAACCATACATGTAAAGTCTAATCCATGCATGTAAAGTCTAATCCATACATGTAAAGTCTCAACCATACATGTAAAGTCTAAACCATACATGTAAAGTCTATTCCATACATGTAAAGTCTCAACCATACATGTAAAGTCTAAACCATACATGTAAAGTCTAAACCATACATGTAAAGTCTCAACCATACATGTAAAGTCTAAACCATACATGTAAAGTCTAATCCATACATGTAAAGTCTTAACCATACATGTAAAGTCTAAACCATACATGTAAAGTCTAAACCATACGTGTAAAGTCTAAACCATACGTGTGAAGTCTAAACCATACATGTAAAGTCTAAACCATACGTGTGAAGTCTAAACCATACATGTAAAGTATAAACCATTCATGTAAAGTCTAAACCATACATGCTAAGTCTAAACCATACATGTAAAGTCTAAACCATACATGTAAAGTCTAAACCCTACATGTAAAGTCTCAACCATACATGTAAAGTCTAAACCATACATGTAAAGTCTAATCCATACATGTAAAGTCTTAACCATACATGTAAAGTCTAAACCATACATGTAAAGTCTAAACCATACGTATAAAGTCTAAACCATACGTGTAAAGTCTAAACCATACATGTAAAGTCTAAACCATACGTGTGAAGTCTAAACCATACATGTAAAGTCTAAACCATTCATGTAAAGTCTAAACCATACATGTAAAGTCTAAACCATACATGTAAAGTCTCAACCATACGTGTAAAGTCTAAACCATACGTGTGAAGTCTAAACCATACATGTAAAGTCTAAACCATACATGCTAAGTCTAAACCATACGTGTGAAGTCTAAACCATACATGTAAAGTCTAAACCATTCATGTAAAGTCTAAACCATACATGTAAAGTCTAAACCATTCATGTAAAGTCTAAACCATTCATGTAAAGTCTAAACCATTCACGTAAAGTCTAAACCATACGTGTAAAGTCTAAACCATACATGTAAAGTCTAAACCATACATGTAAAGTCTAAACCATACATGTAAAGTCTAAACCATACATGTAAAGTCTAAACCATACGTGTAAAGTCTAAACCATATATGTAAAGTCTAAACCATACATGTAAAGTCTAAACCATACATGTAAAGTCTCAACCATTCATGTAAAGTCTAAACCATACATGTAAAGTCTAAACCATTCATGTAAAGTCTAAACCATACGTGTGAAGTCTAAACCATACGTGTAAAGTCTAAACCATTCATGTAAAGTCTAAACCATACATGTAAAGTCTAAACCATACATGTAAAGTCTAAACCATACGTGTAAAGTCTAAACCATACATGCTAAGTCTAAACCATACATGTAAAGTCTAAACCATACATGTAAAGTCTAAACCATACATGTAAAGTCTAAACCATACATGCTAAGTCTAAACCATACATGTAAAGTCTAAACCATACATGTAAAGTCTAAACCATACATGTAGAGTCTAAACCATACATGTAAAGTCTAAACCATACATGTAAAGTCTAAACCATACATGCTAAGTCTAAACCATTCACGTAAAGTCTAAACCATACATGTAAAGTCTAAACCATACATGTAAAGTCTAAACCATACGTGTAAAGTCTAAACCATACATGCTAAGTCTAAACCATACATGCTAAGTCTAAACCATACATGCTAAGTCTAAACCATACATGTAAAGTCTAAACCATACATGTAAAGTCTAAAACATACGTGTAAAGCCTAAACCAAACATGTAAAGTCTAAACCAAACATGTAAAGTCTAAACCAAACATGTAAAGTCTAAACCATACATGTAAAGTCTAAACCATACATGCTAAGTCTAAACCATTCATGTAAAGTCTAAACCAAACATGTAAAGTCTAAACCATACATGTGAAGTCTAAACCATACATGTAAAGTCTAAACCATGCATGTAAAGTCTAAACCATACATGTAAAGTCTAAACCATGCATGTAAAGTCTAAACCATGCATGCAAAGTCTAAACCATACATCTAAAGTCTAAACCATACATGTAAAGTCTAAACCATACATGTGAAGTCTAAACCATTCATGTAAAGTCTAAACCATTCATGTGAAGTCTAAACCATACATGTAAAGTCTAAACCATTCATGTAAAGTCTAAACCATTCATGTAAAGTCTAAACCATACATGTAAAGTCTAAGCCATGCATGTAAAGTCGAAACCATACATGTAAAGTCTAAACCATACATGTAAAGTCGAAACCATACATGTGAATTCTAAACCATTCATGTAAAGTCTAAACCATACATGTAAAGTCTAAACCATTCATGTAAAGTCTAAACCATTCATGTAAAGTCTAAACCATACATGTGAAGTCTAAACCATACATGTAAAGTCTCAATAAGTGTCTGTAAGCCTGAAAACAGAAGTGAGGAGACAAGAAATCACTTACCCTCGTAGCATGACCTTAGAGTTTCATTGACATCATTCTCTTCCCCAACCGGTTCTATGATTGAATACAGTCGACAGCCTCTACTGCAGGACTCCCCAAACACACTCTGCAACAGTCAGCAGAAGCTCAATGTGAAGCCATGGGAGCTCAATACAACTGTTAACAACATCCAACATACTGCGGTCACTATGGCTAAACATCATGCTAGCGTCACTGTGGCTAAACATCATGCTAGGGTCACCATGGCTAAACATCACGCTAGGGCCACTATGGCTAAATATCATGCTGGGGCCACTATGGCTAAACATCATGCTAAGGCCACTATGGCTAAACATCATGCTAGGGCCACTATGGCTAAACATCATGCTGGGGCCACTATGGCTGAACATTATGCTGGGGCCACTATGGCTAAACATCATGCTAGGGTCACTATGGCTAAACATCATGCTACGGCCACTATGGTTAAACAACATACAGGGACCACTATGGTTAAACAACATACAGGGACCACTATGGTTAAACAACATACAGGGACCATGTCGTGAGGTGAGCAGCCAACCCTACACAATGAACGAGTCGTGACTCTGACTTCCCTCGCCCTCAGTCAAATTTTAAACTTAAACCCGTCCGGAAGGGTATATAGTTCCTTATAATGATATATACCTTTATCTGGTAATATATTCATTTCTAGACCCTCTAGTTGCTTTGATAAATCTTCATTTTCAAACTTGCAACTGTAAGTTGACGATTTCTGGTAATCTATTTAGAAATTCCTGTAAACTGGTTTACTCCTTAGGCAGGAATACAGGGGACTTCTTTCCTAGAGACGCTAGTTTGGTTTTGAAAAAAAACAACATAATTTCGCCTGATCCCAAAGTGTCAAGACGTGTATACAGTCTATGTAGAAATTGGCGCATTCAAAGTTCCATTTATATCTTGGAAGATTTCCTAAGCTTGGGTAAGTTGATTATAGTTTACGAGTACCTTAATTGATGTCTTTTTAAAGTTGGCCACTGCTGCAGAGAGGGCAGAGTCAGCTGTGTGATCGCACAGAGTTCGACCGTTCTTGATGTTCAGAGATCAGGCTCCGAACATCGGACCTTACCCTGAACAGACTAATTAGTTGGTGTTCTACTTAACCCACACCATTTGTAAAGATATTAAACCCTACAAGTAATTATTCTCTGACCAGTCAAACAAAGTTATGGCCGCATAACAGAAATAAGGAATCTAGGTCATCTTTAACCGGTGAAACACTGTGCCATCAGGGCTAGGCGCTCTGAGTCGATGGTGTGTTTGACACAGATTCAGTGGGTGTGTAGTGAACGGCCTGTGGAGACGGAATATATATATAGGTACTAACTATAAACATGGTATGTCTGCGAGTGCAGATGTGAGGGTGGAGAGAGGATGATCTATGTGTGGTAGGGTCTATCTATCTCCACTATATACCTTAATTTCTATCTGTTGCACTATTTTACAGACAGATAAATGAAAGGAGACATTGTCTCCTGTTCTTGAGAGTTACACTCTGAGGTATGGAGAAAAGTGGCAGAGGTGGGAGAGAGCTGGTGTGTGAATAAGGTTGATTACTAATTCTGAGTTCTTTCCTGACAGGATGATACCTCCTTAGAGATCAGGCAGACGAATCATAGTCCAGCTAACAACCACCAACCTAAACCATTCTGTGCACCAAGCAGATCCAAAAGTCCTGTATGTTGTGCCACTACCTCAACATGGCAAGAGCTTGCTTGTGAGGCTCTGATGCAGTTTTTGTCTCCTGACCTGTGAGAGAGATTTGGTGGGCTCCTATGCAGTTCTTGTGTCCTCGGTTGTGACAGTCAGCTTGTACCAGATCAAGTCTAGGCCCAACTACTGATTGAGTCAACTACAGTCGAATCACCATGGACTGAGGGGAGCATCGACCTATGAACTGGGCTAAGTGATCTTTTATTCACATTACATGCTCTCTTCCCACAGCACCTTATAAGTCCGATGATAAACTTATGTACACCTCAAGGCAAAATCTGGCTGCTTCAATATCTGGGTTGTGTAATTGTTTCCTGAGCTCCATTCACTGACTCTTGTTTATCGATTCATTATTATATGTATATATTGTACTGATTACATGCACACATTTTCATGGCGGACTTGGGTGTCCTTATTTCACCATTCTAACTGTCTAGCTTTGATGTTTGTGTGAGTAATAAGTGTTATCTGTGTTACCATGGCTATGATAGTATACTATCATAACCTGGGGGCTATCTTTTTATAGTAGTGGGGGTGTCCAGCCAAGTGTGCCTAGGAATATTATATATTTTGTAGTGCCAAAGCTTGAGTTGCCCTACTCCTGAAATAAGTTGAGCGTATATTGGCCATGGGGCATCCCTTAGACCAATACGAGCCAACGACTCAACATAATTATTTTAGAGTGCTGTTGGTTCTTAAGGAGAAATCCTTAAATCAGGCACGCGACAGGAGCGATATGTGACAGACCACTATGGTTAAACAACATACAGGGACCACTATGGTTAAACAACATACAGGGACCACTATGGTTAAACAACATACAGGGACCACTATGGTTAAACAACATACAGGGGCCACTATGGCTAAACAAGATACAGGGACCACTATGGTTAAACAACATACAGGGACCACTATGGTTAAACAACATACAAGGGCCACTATGGGACATACCACTATGGTTAAACAACATACAGGGACCACTATGGTTAAACAACATACAAGGGCCACTATGGCTTAACAACATACAGGTACCACTATGGTTAAACAACATACAGGGTCCACTATGGTTAAACAACATACAGGGTCCACTATGGTTAAACAACATACTAAAATAACAACTGTGATATTCCACTCTTACAAGGAAACTCTAACATAGGTTGCTGAGACCAAGTCAGTGCTCATGCTGTCCTGTGTCCTGTCTGCAGAGACAAGTCAGTGCTCATGCTGTCCTGTGTCATGTCTGCAGAGACAAGTCAGTGCTCATGCTGACCTGTGTCCTGTCTGCAGAGACAAGTCAGTGCTCATGCTGTCCTGTGTCATGTCTGCAGAGACAAGTCAGTGCTCATGCTGTCCTGTGTCATGTCTGCAGAGACAAGTCAGTGCTCATGCTGTCCTGTGTCATGTCTGCAGAGACAAGTCAGTGCTCATGCTGACCTGTGTCCTGTCTGCAGAGACAAGTCAGTGCTCATGCTGTCCTGTGTCCTGTCTGCAGAGACAAGTCAGTGCTCATGCTGACCTGTGTCCTGTCTGCAGAGACAAGTCAGTGCTCATGCTGACCTGTGTCATGTCTGCAGAGACAAGTCAGTGCTTATGCTGACCTGTGTCCTGTCTGCAGAGACAAGTCAGTGCTCATGCTGACCTGTGTCCTGTCTGCAGAGACAAGTCAGTGCTCATGCTGTCCTGTGTCCTGTCTGCAGAGACAAGTCAGTGCTCATGCTGTCCTGTGTCCTGTCTGCAGAGACAAGTCAGTGCTCATGCTGACCTGTGTCATGTCTCCCTGAGCTTGCCCCCACGTCTGCACACTTGGGTGCTGGTGTCTCTCCGCTGATGCTGGTGCTAGGTGTTCTGAATCACTTCTACCTATGACTAGTCGGTATCATTCTCTTTGCTCAAGTTGCTCGCACATGGCCAAACCATCTCATTTGTGCTTTACTGAACTGTATGACTGGTTTCGATTGTAGCCTTCCTCTAATTTCTGCATTTGTGATTTTATCTCTTCTTGTCACAATGGCAACTCTCCTAAGACAAGTTCCGCTCGTTAGTTATAGTAAGGGTCCATGTTTGGCACTGGTAGCACAATGTCAGCAAAAAAAAAACGTTTTTTAAAATTTGCTTTGGTTGGCATAGGTATCTTTCTATGCGTCAGGAGCGGTGTTGATTGTCCCATAACACATTTTTTTTTTTGCACATCGTATGTTGATTATTCTATCCATTTTCCCGCCTGAGGTGAAAAATAACTCTAGATATTTAAATTCACTTGTTTGTTTCATTTCTGTGTTATTTACTTAAATTGGTATGGTTTCTTCTTGTTTCTTCTTCTTCTTCTGCCTTTCTATCCCCCAATGGAGCATAGGCCCTCAACCAACTCACGCCAAGTCGTTCTATCCTTCGCCATTACATGGAGCTCTCCCCATGTCCTCCCAATCTTTCTAACCTCATTCTCCAGCTCTCTTCTCCATGTGTTTTTTGGCCTTCCTTTATTTCTAACATTCCAGGTCCAATTCTGGAGGTTTTCTTAGCTGAGAGGAGGTAAGTCAACGATCCGGACTCCTTGCGGCTTTCTCCACACCGTGTCATACTTCTTCTATTTGAAGAGCCTCCCCTCATCTTGGTTGGCTGGATTTTATTTGCTTCTCTTTTTGACTTATCCATGGTTGGTTGGTTTTTGTGGCTATGGTTTTTACAGGATGAGGTAGCCAACCTCAAGCCCAACCCTACCCTTAGTCGCCTCTTACGACATGCCTGGTAGGGTGCAGTGTCACTATTCTTTGCTTCCCGTGAGGGCCCCGGTGACACACGGGCGTTCTTCTTGTTTACCCATCACCAGTCTCTGTCTTATCAATGCTTATCCTCATATTATATTCCTCACACTTAGTATTCAGTTCTCGTTATGCCTAGTGGCACATGAGGCTTCAGAGAGGACTTTCCATGCTTTCCTGTCCTGCGCAATCTTCAGTGCAGTTTTCCATGTCAAAGATGCCGCACTCAGGTCACTTTCCATAGTTTGTCTCCATGTTGTTTTTGGGCGCCCCTGTTTTCTCTTTCCCTCTGCTGTCCATGTGAGAGCTGTTTTGGCAGGTATATCAGAAGTCATTCTCATAACGTGGCCAAGCCATTTCCATCTTCTCTTGGTAATCATACTGTCTAAAGTTTCTTGGTTTGTGGCTTGAAGTAGTTTAGTGTTTGAGATTGTATCTGGCCAGAAAATTTTGATAATTCTACGTAGACATGTGTGGTGGAAGGTGGACAGCTTGTGTGCATCCTTTTTGGTAATTCTCCAGCATTCCGCTCCATAAAGTATTGACTCGGTTTATATGGTTCTGTAATCTTCGTATCGTATCGTATAAAATCAAACAAAAATTCCAAGCTTAGTCCTTTTTTAGGCGCCTGATGGCCTGCTTTTTCAAGGATGGTTCCTTTGCTGTCTTATTTATTTATCTTCCTTGTGGTGAGCAATTACAGCTGAGTTTGTTCATTTGTTGCCCAAGTTCTGGTTTTGATGGGTCCAGGTTCCTGTTTTAGTTGGCTATCCGCTAACTGTTGCACTGTTCATCTGTGTTAGTACCAAGTCAGTCCTCAGCCACACCGCCGCGAAACAAACAGTCCCGCACACTGAGCATCCTAAACACGGCCCCCACCAGGACGACTGTCACAATCTTGTTGTTGTGCACAGCCGTTAAATATGTAGAGGAGGTAACAAAGGTTTGCAACCTGTAATCTTGTAATCTTTATCTGTTTCAGCTATTAATACCTGGTTATCTGCAAATAACAATTCTGAGATATCAGCCTTTTCTTCGCTCTATGCTTCTCTGCATACAATGTCGATGTATGTTATAAAAATAAGGGGAGATAACACACATCCCTGTCTTGTCCAGAATTTACTTCAAAAGGTTGTGATGTCCTTGCTTTTGTTCATTTGCAACTTATACTTGATGTATAAAAGCTCTTACACTCTTCAGTGAGATGTTTGCTGATTCCATAATTCACTGTGATTTTACATCAATTTTTTTTAAGGGGGCTACCTGGGCCCCAAAAATGGCGAAAAAGACTTGCATCACAGCAACTGAAACACAGTTGACTGGAGGCAGGAAAATAAGTAGAACTATGTACCAGACGTGTCTGAAGGGAACTGAAACACAGTTGACTGGAGGCAGGGAAATGAGTAGAACTATGTACCAGACGTTTCTGACGGGAACTGAAACACAGTTGACTTGAGGCAGGGAAATGAGTAGAACTATGTACCATACGTGTCCGACGGGAACTGAAACACAGTTGACTGGAGGCAGGGAAATGAGCAGAACTATGTACCATACGTGTCCGACGGGAACTGAAACAGTTGACTGGAGGCAGGGAAATGAGTAGAACTTTTTACCAGACGTGTCCGACGGGAACTGAAACACAGTTGACTTGAGGCAGGGAAATGAGTAGAACTATGTACCATACGTGTCCGACGGGAACTGAAACACAGTTCACTTGAGGCAGGGAAATGAGTAGAACTATGTACCATACGTGTCCGACGGGAACTGAAACACAGTTGACTGGAGGCAGGGAAATGAGCAGAACTATGTACCAGACATGTACGACGGGCCTCCAAGGACCTTACTTCCCAAAATGTTCAGATTTTAGTTTGATTCATAAATATTCTGTTAGGTCATTCAATTTTCTACATGAATATATATAGTTTTGTATATCTTCTCTTTGAGTCCCAGGGAACGCATCACGCGCTAATTTGTTACAACCGCCCGACCCAGTCGACGTGTGACAAGTGAAGGTTTTTAAAATTTGCCACTGACCGCTCAATTTCAACTTCCTTTCGAGTTCTTTGAGTCTAATATTAGGCGCGCTCATTTAAAAACGTGGTCTGAAAGCCGAAAATATAGTATATTTGCGAGATTTACCGAGTTATTAGGTGTTTGTCTGAAAAGAATATGGCCACCAAGCAGTATTCCATATGCATGCCAAAATGATTTACGGCTTTAGAAGCCTCAAATTTAAAAAAAGTACTTGTATATTCAATTTATCCGAAGTTAGTTAGATAACGTTGCGAATTAGACATGTTTCAGTCATTTATACAAACTTTGATGAGGGATATGTCTAATGTGTACCTCACACGAAGGTACAACAATAGCAAAGACAGCTGGCACAAAGTGAATGAAAAGATGATTTTCTTCAGTGTCAGTTAGTTCTAGTGCTAGGCAGGGGCACTGTTTAGAGCCGAGGCAAATTTTTTGCTTCAGGACGGTGGCCGATGCATTTTTACTCCATTTGTAGACTGGATATAGTTTCGTCGCCCAGCTTCTGAGCTGAATGCACGATGTGACACTGTGAGCTGCGGATTTCACTTTGAATGTTTTTTTTACTGTGACCAACGTGTAGGTGTAAATTATAGATTCAGAAAATGGCGCGATGCTTGTTGTCGCAATGTTGGTGGTGCCGGTATGTCATTAAAATTGATTGCGTAAGCAACTGCTGATCTGCTGTGACTTCTGCTACCATCAATGATGAACTGCATTTCTAATGTTGGACTGTTTGTGTTAGCACTTCAGAGGGCTACGATATGCTTTAATGTGTGTTTATGCTAGATATGCTGAGACAGCAGTCTGTCAATCTTTCCACAAGGGACTGTGATAAACATTCTGGGTGTTTTTCGTTGGCACAGGAGCGGAGCAAAGTTGGGGTGACCTGTTTGCTATGAAGCTGAAACTAAGACTACCGACTACCAGATCAGACCAGTGTTATTCCTCTCATTATTTAGAAACATAGCAACAAAAATATAGGAAAATTGAGTGTTATATAAACTTCCTTTTGTGTGAAGATACTTACAGTTTTCTTTACCAAATAATGGTGTTCTGTTATGATGCTTCAAAAGATTCTTTGGAACAAAATCTAACATATAGATTGAGTTTATATTTTACTTAAACATTACTAAGTGGTTCATATTCATTTGTAATTCATTTTGGAAATATTTTAACCAGTTTTCCGTGAGTGCCATGGTGATAAGAGGAATTTTTTATATTTCATGTTACTAATTTGTGTAAACATACCGTCTGCTTATGAACTAATATTTAATTACTAACGCAATTATTTGTTGTAGCTGTATTCTATAATAATTCCTCAACAACCCATGGTCACTTTGATGTATAACATAATATGTGTATGTTGCGTGGCAACTGAATTAGTTTGGTCTGTTTTAATGTGTTACACTCGTGAAAGTACAAAATTGCATTACCACCCCTTGGGCCTCTGATGCTAAACCTCCTGGGACTCATTGTTTGTGTCGTTTTTTTTTTGTTCAAACTCAAAGAGTTGTTTAAACTTAAAAGCTTTATTTTTTATATTTTGTGTGTGTGTGTGTGTGTGTGGTGTATAAACTAATAGAATCCCCTACTGACGGCTCTGTCTTCCTGGCACCGAAACTCTAAAAAGGCTCCGTCTTCAAAGGGTTAAGGTCCGTGTGCTGTCTTAGTAAGAGTAGTAAGACAGTACGACTGCCTTACGGTTCACTCCACTTCTGTAGTGTAGACTCTCTGTAGTCCACGACAGTGACTGTTAGGATATCTCAAACAAAGAGAACCGAACCATGTTCACTGACCTTGTATGTACTTGATGGGTATGTCTTCTGGCAGACATCTTCACACGGATCGACATCGCCAAAGGGTCTGTCCAGGAAGAAAGAAGCGGTTGATGAAACCAGCAGAAGGAGAAGAAAACTATAAAGAAGTTTGTTTGTTTCTGTCGCCATCTTGTCTGTCCCACATTAAACAAAGCCTCCTATTGGTGAGCCTGGTCACATGACCAGCCCGCCCCGCCCCTATACAATACAGGGGACACGTGTCGGAGACCCAGCTGGGTCCTACAGCTGTTGTTGAAGATCCACAGATATTGATCAGCACCCATACAGGGGTGGATGTAAACATTCAATCCACGCTGACTGGCATTTAAATAATCACAGATGGTTAGACCGGAATATTTTCCATTTCTCTAGTCATCTTAGTGTAGTGTTTGTGGTGTGTGTGAAAGTGTGATTGTGTGTGTGAGTGAGTGTGTGTCTGTGAGGCAGGATGCGGGAGGGGCATCTGGCCGCTGTTTGTAACGCGTTGTTTAAGTTTACCTTTACTAACATCATAAAGATTTCGGTAATAGTAATTTAAACAAGATTATTCCGTTGAACCCATCCGGGTTATAATTAAGCGATACTAGTTTTATTATTTTTTCTATTTCAATAATGGATACTTATGATTATTACCTGTTTCATTATTGAGTATTGCTCAAACGGGAGATGGTATGATATAGGGTGACGGAGTGAGAAGATGATATGAGATAAGGTGACGGAGTGAGTAGATGATATGAGATAGGGTGACGGGGTGAGAAGATGATATGAGATAAGGTGACGGAGTGAGATGATGATATGAGATAGGGTGACGGGTGAGAAGATGATATGAGATAAGGTGACGGAGTGAGAAGATGATATGAGATAAGGGGAAAGAGTGAGAAGATGAAATCAGAGGATGACATAAGGAGATGGGCAGATGAAATGAGACTGGGAGGTCAGGGGATGAGCAAATTAGGTGATATGCAGATGTACTAAGGCGCTGAGATAAGACGAAAATATCAGATAAGGATACGAAAAGATGACATAAGAAGAGGGAGGAGATGGGCAGAGGAGATAAGAAAATAAAAGGATGAGAAAATGATGAAATAAGGACATTATGAGAACAGATGAGAATAGGCGTTTCCGAAAAGAGAAAGAGATGTGCAGATGAGAAAAAGAAGATATGAATAGACGATATAGATATAAGGAGATGACATGCGATGGAGATGAGGAGAAGGTGAGAAGGGGATGAATGAAAAGACGAGATAGAGAGGAGGAGATGTGGAGATGAGGAGAAGGTGATGAATGAAAAGACGAGATGGAGAGGAGGAGATGAGATGGTGATAAAAGATGACATGTTTACATCTCGCGAGAGCTGTCAGGCGAGACTTGCTCCCGCGTTACCATGTCAGGGCTACAGAAACTTCTTTTCAGAACAGTACCAAGGTATCTTGAAAATGTTATATATTAAAAAAAAACATTAAAACGTCTTTTTAAAACACACACCGCACGTATACCACATACACACGTGCACACACACACACACACACACACATGTATATTTGACAAGAATAGAAATTACATTTCCATTACAACATTGATGTACCATTTCCCCCCACCCAGTTTATTATAAAGCTGTGATGGCGGCTTCCAGGTTGTAAAATAAATATCCTGAAGCAATAACTTGAATACCATTAATGTATTTACGGTCTTCAAGGGAAAAAGATTCTTTATGTCGATACTGTTAATGGTAGAGAGAACTCTTTCTGCAGCTGCAGAGTAACGGATATAAGGCCAAAAGACTAGATATAGTTTAATAATGGAAAGAGATTTGTATCTCTACATGTTTCTCGAGAACTGCAAACTAGAATGTTTCTATTGTTATTTCTTCTTCAGCATTAGTTAGCCGTTCTTGGCTTCTAGCTCCCTCCATTCTTTATTTATTGGTTCGTTATGTTCTTCTTTGACAAGAGGTGACAGAGAACCATCCGTCATTAGTCTGAGAGGACATTTCTACACTGGTCTTTGCGCACTTGACCAGTCACGTCTACACTGGTCTTTGCGCACTTGACCAGTCACGTCTACACTGGTCTTTGCGCACTTGACCAGTCACGTCTACACTGGTCTTTGCGCACTTGACCAGTCACGTCTACACTGGTCTTTGCGCATTTGACCAGTCACGTCTACACTGGTCTTTGCGCATTTGACCAGTCACGTCTACACTGGTCTTTGCGCAATTGACCAGTCACGTCTACGCTGATTTTTGCGCAATTGACCAGTCACGTTAAATGGCACATTTGCATCAACAGTTTTTGTTTGTTTTGAAGTGAAAGTCCCTTTATATGACGGGGCGCGTCAGGAACACTGAACTAGAATGACTAGACTAAACACGGGGCTAGACTGAACACGGGGCTAGACTGGCTAGACTAAACACGGGACTAGACTGACTAGACTAAACACGGGGCTAAACTGACTAGAATAAACACGGGGCTAGACTAAACACGGGGCCAGACTGAACACTGGGCTAGACTGACTAGACTAAACATGGGGCCAGAGTGACTAAACTAAACACGGGGCTAGACTGAACACGGGGCTAAACTGACTAGACTAAACACGGGGCTAGACTAAACACAGGGCTAGACTAAACACGGGGCTAGACTAAACACGGGGCTTTACTGCTGAACACGGGGCTAGACTGACTAGACTAAACACGGGGCTAGACTGAACACGGGGCTAGACTGACTAAACTAAACACGGGGCTAGACTGAATACGGGGCTAGACTGACTAAACTAAACACGGGGCTAGACTGAACACGGGGCTAGACTGGCACATTTGCATCAACAGTTTTTGTTTGTTTTGAAGTGAAAGTCCCTTTATATGACGGGGCGCGTCAGGAACACGGAACTAGAATGACTAGACTAAACACGGGGCTAGACTGAACACGGGGCTAGACTGGCTAGACTAAACACGGGGCTAGACTGGCTAGACTAAACACGGGGCTAGACTGAACACGGGGCTAGACTGGCTAGACTAAACACGGGGCTAGACTGGCTAGACTAAACACGGGGCTAGACTGACTAGACTAAACACGGGGCTAAACTGACTAGACTAAACACGGGGCTAGACTAAACACGGGGCTAGACTGAACACTGGGCTAGACTGACTAGACTAAACATGGGGCCAGAGTGACTAAACTAAACACGGGGCTAGACTAAACACGGGGCTAAACTGACTAGACTAAACACGGGGCTAGACTAAACACGGGGCTAGACTGACTAGACTAAACACGGGGCTAGACTGACTAGACTAAACACGGGGCTAGACTGACTAGACTAAACACGGGGCTAGACTAAACACGGGGCTTTACTGCTGAACACGGGGCTAGACTGACTAGACTAAACACGGGGCTAGACTGAACACGGGGCTAGACTGACTAAACTAAACACGGGGCTAGACTGAACACGGGGCTAGACTGAATACGGGGCTTTACTGCTGAACACGGGACTAGACTGAATACGGGGCTTTACTGCTGAACACGGGACTAGACTGCTGAACACGGGGCTAGACTGCTGAACATGGGGCTAGACTGCTGAACACGGGACTAGATTGTTGAACACGGGACTAGACTGATGAACACGGGACTAGACCGACTAGACTAAACACGGGGCTTTACTGCTGAACACGGGACTAGACTGCTGAACATGGTACTAGACTGCTGAACACGGGGCTAGACTGCTGAACACGGGACTAGACTGCTGAACATGGTACTAGACTGCTGACCACGGGGCTAGACTGCTGAACACGGGACTAGACTGCTGAACACGGGACTAGACTGGCTAGACTAAACACGGGGCTTTACTGCTGAACACGGGGCTAGACTGCTGAACACGGGGCTTGACTGCTGAACACGGGATTAGACTGCTGAACATGGGGCTAGACTGCTGAACACGGGATTAGACTGCTGAACACGGGACTCGATTGTTGAACACGGGACTAGACTGATGAACACGGGACTAGACTGATGAACACGGGACTAGACTGATGAACACGGGACTAGACTGCTGAACACGGGGCTAGACTGCTAAACACGGGACTAGACCGACAAGACTAAACACGGAGCTAGACTGAACACGGGACTAGACTATTGAACACGGGACTATACTGCTGAACACGGGACTAGACTGCTGAACATGGGACTAGACTGGCTAGACTAAACACGGAGCTAGACTGAACACGGGGCTAAACTGACTAGACTAAACACGGGGCTAGACTAAACACGGGGCTTTACTGCTGAACACGGGGCTAGACTGAACACGGGGCTAGACTGACTAAACTAAACACGGGGCTAGACTGAACACGGGGCTAGACTGAATACGGGGCTTTACTGCTGAACACGGGACTAGACTGAATACGGGGCTTTACTGCTGAACACGGGACTAGACTGCTGAACACGGGGCTAGACTGCTGAACATGGGGCTAGACTGATGAACACGGGACTAGATTGTTGAACACGGGACTAGACTGATGAACACGGGACTATACTGCTGAACACGGGGCTAGACTGCTGAACACGGGACTAGACCGACTAGACTAAACACGGGGCTTTACTGCTGAACACGGGACTAGACTGCTGAACACGGTACTAGACTGCTGAACACGGGGCTAGACTGCTGAACACGGGACTAGACTGCTGAACATGGTACTAGACTGCTGAACATGGTACTAGACTGCTGAACACGGGGCTAGACTGCTGAACACGGGACTAGACCGACTAGACTAAACACGGGGCTTTACTGCTGAACACGGGACTAGACTGCTGAACACGGTACTAGACTGCTGAACACGGGGCTAGACTGCTGAACACGGTACTAGACTGCTGAACACGGGACTAGACTGCTGAACACGGGACTAGACTGGCTAGACTAAACACGGGGCTTTACTGCTGAACACGGGGCTAGACTGCTGAACACGGTACTAGACTGCTGAACACGGGGCTTGACTGCTGAACACGGGACTAGACTGCTGAACACGGGACTCGATTGTTGAACACGGTACTAGACTGATGAACACGGGATTAGACTGCTGAACACGGGACTAGACTGATGAACACGGTACTAGACTGATGAACACGGGACTAGACTGATGAACA